TTTGAGACGTCTCAAAACACTTCTTCATCGTTTTGCCACCATGGTGGGTGGCGAGGAAGAAGGTGAAGCGTTTTGAGACGTCTCAAAACACTTCTTCATCGTTTTGCCACCATGGTGGGTGGCGAGGAAGAAGGTGAAGCGTTTTGAGACGTCTCAAAACACTTCTTCATCGTTTTGCCACCATGGTGGGTGGCGAGGAAGAAGGTGAAGCTTTAAGAGACGTCTCAAAACATTCATCGTTTTGCCACCATGGTGGGTGGCGAGGAAGAAGGTGAAGCGTTTTGAGACGTCTCAAAACACTTCTTCATCGTTTTGCCACCATGGTGGGTGGCGAGGAAGAAGGTGAAGCGTTTTGAGACGTCTCAAAACACTTCTTCATCGTTTTGCCACCATGGTGGGTGGCGAGGAAGAAGGTGAAGCGTTTTGAGACGTCTCAAAACACTTCTTCATCGTTTTGCCACCATGGTGGGTGGCGAGGAAGAAGGTGAAGCGTTTTGAGACGTCTCAAAACACTTCTTCATCGTTTTGCCACCATGGTGGGTGGCGAGGAAGAAGGTGAAGCGTTTTGAGACGTCTCAAAACACTTCTTCATCGTTTTGCCACCATGGTGGGTGGCGAGGAAGAAGGTGAAGCGTTTTGAGACGTCTCAAAACACTTCTTCATCGTTTTGCCACCATGGTGGGTGGCGAGGAAGAAGGTGAAGCGTTAAGAGACGTCTCAAAACATTCATCGTTTTGCCACCATGGTGGGTGGCGAGGAAGAAGGTGAAGCGTTAAGAGACGTCTCAAAACATTCATCGTTTTGCCACCATGGTGGGTGGCGAGGAAGAAGGTGAAGCGTTAAGAGACGTCTCAAAACATTCATCGTTTTGCCACCATGGTGGGTGGCGAGGAAGAAGGTGAAGCGTTTTGAGACGTCTCAAAACACTTCTTCATCGTTTTGCCACCATGGTGGGTGGCGAGGAAGAAGGTGAAGCGTTTTGAGACGTCTCAAAACACTTCTTCATCGTTTTGCCACCATGGTGGGTGGCGAGGAAGAAGGTGAAGCGTTTTGAGACGTCTCAAAACACTTCTTCATCGTTTTGCCACCATGGTGGGTGGCGAGGAAGAAGGTGAAGCGTTTTGAGACGTCTCAAAACACTTCTTCATCGTTTTGCCACCATGGTGGGTGGCGAGGAAGAAGGTGAAGCGGCACAAGGAGCTGACCAGACACCCTCCTGGATGACGTATGACATCATGAACCCGGCTGTGGCAGGGCCATGTGCAGTAAGCAGGAGGAGTCGGTCCAGCGGTCAGCGGTACGTGAAGTCGGTCAGCGTACGTGGGTGGAGGCGGGCCAGCACTGTAGGTAGGCTTTAGCTGCAGGCTACTCTTTGCACGTTGGTGCCATGGGGCTTTTAGGCTCCACTGATGGATGAAAAGGTGCGAGCACATAGCATCGTCAGATGCCATGCGTGAAGGTTGTGTTCTAGCGTACATATGTTGCTCCGTTTACATGAAAGAGTGCTGGAGCTGGTTTGATGCATGTGACTTCAGTATAGTCAAAAAGTCCAAATCTGATTGGGTTCAGCCAGGCAGCAGCAGCACCGTCGCTAGCGCAAGGCAGCATCTCTCTTCCCTTCCCACATCACCCACAACATTATTTCCTGCTATCACTCAGTGCCCCACTCATGCTCCTCCTCTCTCCCCCTCCTTCTCCACCCACTCCTCCCTCGATCGTGGTCCGGACTCCAATCAACTATCGAAAATGTTATTTTCCACTTACCTATTTGAACCCTGTGTCTCCTCAGATTCTTGCAAAGTATTCAACCGTGCTGCTTGACCTCATCGCTTCTCCACGTCGTTTGTGCTGCTGCTGCTGCTGCTGCTGCCGCCACCGCCGCCGCCGCCGCTGCTGCTGCTGCTGCTGCTGTTGAGGTTGCTGCATGTGTTCCACTGACATAACCGTGAGGCATTACTTGGGCTGCTACTGCTACAATCTTGAGTCACCTGAGCCCTTCACATCTGCTGCAGCAGCTGCTGCCACATTCACACTGCCTACCCCTGCTTCAGCAGCATCAGCCCAGCATTTGTGGCGTTAGTGACATGGGAACGGAGGAACAGTTCCATGCGGGTGGACAAGGGGGTGAGGGGAACAGAAGTAGCTGCAGCATGAGCGGCGCCTGAGCTGAAAGAACCTTCTTCAGGCCTCCCTGGCACCATCACTCCTTGCTCTCGAGTCGCTTCTATCAATCCTCCACCTGCTGCTGCTGTTGTTCCCCCAGCTGGCATGGCATGGCATGGCATGGCAATCTGTACGTTGTGCTGTCGAAGGCAGCAGCACCATGCATGGCAGCACCACGCATGGCAGCACCACGCATGGCAGCATATGCATGGCATGGCAGCACCACGCATGGCAGCACCATGCATGGCAGCACCATGCATTTCTCGGAAGGAAGAGTTGCATTCTCAACATCCGCACCCTCCCACCCTTCTTCCTCTTTTTCCCTTTTCCTCCTCCCCACCTGCCACCCCTCCCCCTTTGCAACACCTTAAAATGCTTCCCAACATTTGGTCCCCGTGTCTCTCACTGCCCCTTGCTAGCAGATTCTGACGGCAAGAGCATGGATCTTGAAGAATCAGAGTAGGGAGCTTATACAATCCTCCCATAGCACGTGCGGCTGATACAATGGACTTCACAGTAACGAGAAAATTCGGAACAACGATTCAGGTTACACAGGTTCGCGAAAACAGCGCAACCCTGAATAAAGTTCGTGCATCCAGATCCAACTCCACGCCTCGATTCCTTTCCCTCACGCCCTTGCCTCACGCCCATCTCCTTCCAGGGCGTGGAGGCTGGCGCTAGCGCCGCTGTAAGCAAGCAAATTCTCCAGGCTCGCTCATAGCTCCAGGAGACGCCGTGCTCTCTCCATGCACGCGCTTCTCGCACATCGTTTGCGATCTATACCGTCAGATTCGGTACCTACGTCCTCAGCCTCAGGTTGCGGCGACGTGATGCTCCTCGGCGCAGGAACCAACCGGCAGCAAAGATCTTCGCTGCGGCGCGCAAATACTAGAAATTATCGTGAACAACGATGGGCGAATATTCTTCCATGAATCCGTACATGGAATGAGAAGCGACTCGTTATGGCGGTGCGAGCACGGACGAACGAAGACATGCACGGCTGGATGGATTTGGGCGCAAGGGAGGGTAGCGTACTCTTTCCGCCACGTGGCGACGTGCAGAAGGGGTCCAGTATGCATGCCGCCATTTGTGCTGCAATGCGGCAATTGCTTGCTACTAGGTGAACGCGATTCGGTCCTGCGTGAAAAAGAAGCGATTGAGAAGGCGACTCGAGATGGTCGCGACAGCAAGACAAGGGTGGCACTGGCAACCGAAATGCGCGCGCATCGCACACATCCTCCTCCTCCGCTCCCCATTCTCTTCCTTCCTCCTGCCCGTGTCTTGCACCCTTCTCTTCAATCCCAGCTCTAACTGCACGGCGGCGATGCATTTTCTTCCTTTTTTCTTCCGAGCCTTCCTCTTGAGAGCGCGCCTTTTTTACCAGTGTAGCCTCTGCCCTCCCTCCATTCCTCTCTTTTCTTACTCTCCCTTCCTCTTTGCTTCCTAGCGTTCCTGCTGTGATCGCACCTCTCACCAATTCCAGCCTCTGCGCGCCCTCGATTCCTATCCTCTTCACTGCCTAAGGTGCCTCTGCCACCTCCTCGCTGTTTCTCGCCCTCTGGCGAAGCACGTCGCTCGCTGCTGCCACTCAGCACACCTCCCATCACCACTCCACTGGTACGGCTCTCTGCTCTCATCCCAGCGCCCCTCCTTCCCAAAGGCGCCCCATGATGCTCTCGCCGTCCACGAGCTGATTACCAGAGAAGTATCAGGTGCAGTGTCTTGCTCCTCGCCTGATCTGAATGCATTTCCTCGTTGCTTATCACATGCGTCTCGCTGCTCGCCCATCTCACCCTTACTCGCTCACCTCGCCTTACCTCCTACTGCCGTTCCTCTGTGCGACTGCCTTGCCATGCCACCTCCATCCATGCACGCAACGCTTCCTTCACACCTCACCCCGCTGTTCTTCTGCACTCCCCTCCCATCCTGCTGCCATTCTTGGTGAAACCAGTTGTACATTCCGGTATGGTTCAGTCATTTGGTAGTCACGCAACCATGCCATCATTGGCTTCTGCTTTTAATTAGTCCCTTTTTCACTTCAATTACATCACACTATCCCTCCCCCACTTCGTAGTTTTTGCCCATGCATCTAACCTCTTGTAACTCCTGAACTTAGAGCTGTTTGCCCTTTGTGGAGCCTTTGCTTCTGTTAATCCTTCTTTCGCTCATGCTGACTCAACCATCCCTCCATCGTCTTTCAACCTCGTTCTACACTCGTCTCCTGCTCCGCCCCTCACCTTCCTCCTCCCTTCTGCAACTTACTCCTTCCCCTCCACCCTCCACCTCCCCCACCGCCTTTCCCCCTCCCAGCCTCCCTCTCCCCATTCCCTTTCCGCGGCCCTTCTGGCCCAGCTTTAAGTGCACAACCCATTTCCTTCCTCTTCGCTTCCATCCTCAATCTCTCTTGCCTTCATGTTCATCTCTTGCGAGTGCACATCCTTACCGCGTGTAGCCTCTGCCCTCTCACCATTCCGCTGCTCAGCAGTGCCTCTTGCCATCTCCGGTGGTGAAGCGACTGCCACCTCTTTTCGCCTCCCCCGCTCGGCCACTAGGGCAAAGTGCCTCGCTCGCACCTGCCAGCTCGCCCACCCATTCCAGGTACGGCCTCTCTGCTCTGCTCCCACCGTCTCACCTTTCAATGCGCCCTGCTGCTCTCACCGTAGCAATGTGTCCTGCTCCTCCCACCGCCCACCGCAGCACCAGATGTATCTTCCTCCTCGCCTGACCCGGATACATTCACCCTTGGTTATCGCTTGTGGTTTGCTGATCGCCTATCTCACTCGCACCTCCTTTTACCTCCTAGTGACACGATTTGTTTCTCGGTGCGAGTGGCTGCAATGCCACACCTCTATCCTCCACTCAGCACTTCCTTCACACTTCGCCCCTCTCCCCTCGTCCTCTGTGCTGTTCGTCTCCCCTCCGTCCTCTCTTCTCTTTTCGTCTCTCCTAGTCCTTCCCCTCCTTTCTTACCCTGCTCCCACCCTTCCCCGCCCTCCTTCCCTGCTCTCTCCTGCCACGTTCTCCCTCTCCCACTCTTTTTCCCATCTCCCTCCTCCCCACTTCTCGCCCCCTCTTCGGCCTCTGGGTCTCCTCACCCACCTCGTGCTTGTGGTTTCGCCATTCCTGTTCCATTTCACTGTCCATATCCTTCTCCTCCTCCTCATTGTCTCCTGGAGGTCACTGGTGTCCTATCCATCCTTATACCTCTTGTTTCATCCCGTACTTACTTCACCTCCATCAGGTTCTCCATCCTCTGTCTCGCACCTCGCATTAGCCTCACAGAACAACCGTCATCTCCTTTTCCCTGCTCTCCTGTCTCATCGCCATACATCAGGTCGTCATGCCTGTGTGCTCCTTCTCTCCGTCCTGGCCTTGTCGCCTCCCTCCTGTGACAGATTCGGTCTTCCATTTCCTTCTGCTCCTCCCCCCCCCCCCCTTCCCTCCCCCCTTCCCTCCCCCCCACTCCCCCCCCACCCCAATCCTGCCCCACCTCGCTGTGTTGTGCAGGCGCACGCCTTGCATTGGGCTCGCCCCATCAGCCATGGCTCGGATGACTGCAGTGGCCATGCTGCTGCCAGGGCTGCTCGCAGCTGTCCTTCCCGCCATCCCTGTCATCGTCAGCATCATGCTACGTGCCAGGGATGCCTGGCCTTTCACCACTGCAAAGGACGTGAGTGCTGCCATGCCGCGCATCGCTGCTATGTCAAGGGTCGCATGCATGGTGCTCGCTCTTTGCCATGCTGTACTGGCCGTTGCTGCTATGGCAAGGTCTCATGGATGGTGCTGCTTGCTCTTTGTCGTGCTGGCGTAGCCTCACCAAGCCCACTCCAGCATACCCGCACATGTTCCACATCGTAGGTTTCTTGTGCTTGTGGCTTTCACGGTTGCCTTGCCTCATATCTCTGCATGCACCCACCTGGTGTCTCCACTTTGCCTCTTGCAGGTGACACGCGGCAACCAGCAGGTCAACCACCCTTTCGCGCTTCCCTCTGCTTCCCTCGCTCATGTAAGCCAGGGTTGTTTTTCCTCCCATCAACATGCTTTATCTGATCGCCGTTCTTTTCCTTGTTCTGATGGATGACAGCAGGATCCGCGATCAATGCAGTTGCACTAAATCCTTCTGTGCTTCGTGTGTGCTGTGCATGTGTGGGTGGGTGCGTATGTGTGCACATGAATGGTGTGTGTACGTGTGCATGTCCTTGTCTGCCTCTCAGCCCAATGCCACTGCCATGTGTCAGAATGCCGCTTGCGGACCTCCCACTCCCGCCCATACCATCGCTTCCTCTCTTCTGCATGCCCACGCTCTCAACGTGCCTCTTCACTTCCTCCGCTCCTTGGTGCGTCTTGGTTTGAACACAGCTTCTGCAATTTCCACTTCGCTGCAACCAACCATTTCTGTCTTGATTCAGTGTTTCCTGGAGTTGGGAACATACGTATCGCCCCTTTCTCAATGTCAGTACTCACACACATGATTTTGTATGCCCTTACTGTTCCACGTGTACGCGTCTGCAGCCTTCAGGTGCAAACCATCTCCTCGTGCTGTACTCTGTCATCTCCACTCTCATCGCTAGTCTCATGGCGCTGCTGTGGGGGATGGGCGTGACCCACACGCAAGTCAGAGCATGGGTGCATCAGCGGGGCTTGGCTGTGACAGATGGGCTGATGAAGCTGAAGAGTGCAACCAAGTGCCGAGTGGTATGCCGTGCGCTCTTCCCTCCTACCCTGCAGCTTCTTTTTCTTCTTCGTGCGCTCACTTGTGTTCCCCATGTTGCTGCACGCCCCCTATCCCATCATCCCTACAGCTTTGTCTCCTTGCCATTATTTTCTCTGCTCACTTGTGTTCCCCATGCTGCTGCACGCCCCCTATCCCATCATCCCTACAGCTTTGTCTCCTTGCCATTATTTTCTCTGCTCACTTGTGTTCCCCATGCTGCTGCACGCCCCCTATCCCATCATCCCTACAGCTTTGTCTCCTTGCCATTATTTTCTCTGCTCACTTGTGTTCCCCATGCTGCTGCACGCCCCCTATCCCATCATCCCTACAGCTTTGTCTCCTTGCCATTGTTTTCTCTGCTCACTTGTGTTTCCCATGCTGCAGTCTCCAACTGTCCTAACCATGCTGCAGCAACGCGGAATCTTCCCTCTGCTTCACAACACCATGTGAGCAAGCCCCCGCTTACCATTGTTCAATCCCCTCGTTTTCTTGAGCTTGTTTCATTTGCTTCTAAATTCGTATGTATTCTCTCTGCATGGCAATGCAAGCAGCCGCTGCCCTTGCTGATGCATAAAGCTTCTATGTCCCTGGTCGTTCCTGCCCTTGCTGTCCTGACGTCACATTCCCCAATTCTCCACTCACGGTTTGTTCTCGTCGTAACCTTGACATCTTCTCGTTTACATACCTACTATCATGTGTGCTCATGTGCTGCCATGTGTAGTGAGCATGCCAGGACTGAGATGGAGAGACTAGGAAAGGCTGTTGGGACTGTCGTGGCGAGTATGGGTGGAACACACGGGTGGAAGGAGGCGATGGAGATGAGAATGAGGGTGCTTGGCGTGCAGCTGGAAGAGACACGGAGGGTGTTGGAGGAGGCTGAGCGGGGACGAGAGATTGAAATTAGGGGAATGAGGGCGCAAGTGGAGGAGAGGGAGCGGGAGCTGGGTGCAGTATTGGCTGCAGCAAAGAGGGAGGTGAATGCAGTGAAGGGGGAGTTGGTTGAACACAAGCAGTCAACTACGTTGCAGCTGGAGGAGGCTGAGAGGAGACGAGTGGCGGAGATGAGAGGGCAGGTGGAGGAGAGGGAGAGAGAGCTGGGAGTAGTGAAGGGGGAGGTGAATGCAGTGAAGGGGGAAGTGAATGCAGTGAAGGGGGAAGTGAATGCAGTGAAGGGGGAAGTGAATGCAGTGAAGGGGGAAGTGAATGCAGTGAAGGGGGAAGTGAATGCAGTGAAGGGGGAAGTGAATGCAGTGAAGGGGGAAGTGAATGCAGTGAAGGGGGAAGTGAATGCAGTGAAGGGGGAAGTGAATGCAGTGAAGGGGGAAGTGAATGCAGTGAAGGGGGAAGTGAATGCAGTGAAGGGGGAAGTGAATGCAGTGAAGGGGGAAGTGAATGCAGTGAAGGGGGAAGTGAATGCAGTGAAGGGGGAAGTGAATGCAGTGAAGGGGGAAGTGAATGCAGTGAAGGGGGAAGTGAATGCAGTGAAGGGGGAAGTGAATGCAGTGAAGGGGGAAGTGAATGCAGTGAAAGGGGAAGTGAATGCAGTGAAGGGGGAAGTGAATGCAGTGAAGGGGGAAGTGAATGCAGTGAAGGGGGAAGTGAATGCAGTGAAGGGGGAAGTGAATGCAGTGAAGGGGGAAGTGAATGCAGTGAAGGGGGAGGTGACGACAGTGCAGGGCGAGGTAAATGCAGTGAAGGCGGAGGTGAATGCAGTGAAGGGGGAGGTGAATGCAGTGAAGGGGGAGGTGGCAGCAGTGAAAAGCGAGATGGCTGAGCAGAAGCAGTCAACCACATTGCAGTTAGAGGAGGCTGAGAGGAGACGAGTGGCGGAGATGACAAGGCAGGTGGAGGAGAGCGAGCTGGCAGCATTGCAGGGGGAGGTGAATGCAGTGAGGGGGGAGCTGGCGGAACATAAGGAAGTTCTCGTGATTGACTTGAAAATCAAAGAAAGTGAAGGCGATCAGAAGACGGCATGGCAGGTGAGTGCCATGGGATCGCTTTCACAGGGCGAGCATGGTTGGACAGGGCGAGCATGGTTGGACGAGCATGGTTTGATTGGGCGAGCATTGTTTGCTATGGTCATGGTTTGATGGGCTATTGTTTGTTTGTTGTTTGCATTGTTTGCTTTGTTTGCAATGTCTTTTCTTGTCATTTGTTCCCTCTTCATCCCTCACCTCCAGCGAATCAAGGCAGCATCACAAAGAACGGCTCTGGAGCTGGAGAATCTTAGCAACGTCTCAGATGCCATGCTCGCCCATGTGTCCACCATGACGCAACTGTCAAAAATTGTCTTGTACCATTCCTCGGGCTTCAGTGCAGAGGGCATCAGGCACCTCTACAAGCTGCCAAAGCTGGAGACTCTAGACCTTAGAGGCACAGAGGTCTCAGACAGTGCGTTGGAAGGCATTGGGGCCTTGACCAGTCTTGAGGACCTCCTCCTCCATCAGACCAAGGTGACAGATGCTGGTCTACCTCACTTGACAGGCCTTTCTTCTCTCGAATTGTTGGGGCTTGGTGGATGCAAGGGTGTGACAAATGCTGGCATGGTGCACGTGGGAAGGCTGACGCAGCTGGAGAACCTTAATCTGGAAGTTGCAGCAATCACGGATGCCGGGCTGCAGCAGCTGACTGGTCTGACCAGTCTGAGAATGTTCCGACCGCCAGAAGGGGGTTGCCTTAAGAACGAAGATGCACGCAGGCGGATACGCAGGTAGGGTGGCAAGGAATGACGATGGAAAGGAAGCTGAAGCTGGGGAAGAGTTGAGTGTGACTGTTTAGGGGAGACTGAGGCGAGGCGTGGAGGCAAGGGGTGTGAAGAACGCGGGGAAGCATGCATGCAGAGGGGAGCCATGGAATGGCTAGAGAGCGGGCGGATAAAGGGAGATGCATGAGCCATGCTTTGGGTACACTGACATACCGTAGTGAGGTGGGTGGGTAGGTGGCATATGAGGTGGTGGAGGTTGAAGCAGGAGGAAGTGGGGCTGTGTTAGCCATGCCTGCCTGGCATTGACTGTTGGCTGTACAGATCCTCCTCTCGTGAAGGAGAGGCCATTTTTTGGTTTAGAATAGATATTGAGGGTATGGCATATGTTTTAGGAAATTTTCTAAAACATATAAAAAAGCTTGAACGTGTCCAGTTGACAATGTTGCATCAATTCACAATAGAGTAACTCGTATCCTATATTGGCAAGATCTCAACCAAAAGACTCTGGATTGGTAGATGAGATTAATTGTGTTTGTATACCAAGCTGTGTATCACTTATTCAAGGTGTACATGACTTGCTTGAGACCATTATAGTGTAAGAACATTCTTCTGACTGGGGTAGAGGGCAGCAGCGAAGCAGGAAAGGGTGGAAAGGGGGGGGGGGAAGGGAGGGGGGGGGGGGGGGGGGGGGGGGGGGGGGAGCTGTGTGTGCATAGGAGAGGGGCAGATGCGATGAGATACATGCTGCTGTGCACCTGATTCTGCGAAGTAATCGCCATATTCCCACCTCACAAAAGCAATTGTGCTTCTAAATGCTTCTCGCACCATCTCCGTCAAAAGCACATGCTGCGGATGGTTGCAGCTAGCAAAAAAATGAGTGGACCAGAACTCCTGGAGCTTCAAGAAAAGACTTCCACATGCATCAAGCCTGAAATCGTCTCCGTGTGCCTTGCGACGATGCATGCACCGCATAGCTGCACTGCAACGCACTACTTGCAACCATAGCAACCTCCTTCAGATGGCCTACCTTGTTCATATTGGTTCCTGCACAGGGCAGCATGAGAGGAAAGATAAATAAGGTTAGGCATGAGCTAAAAGCAGGCATGGGTGAAGGATTGGCATGGGTGAAGGGCTGGCATGGGTGAATGGCTGGCATGGGTGAATGGCTGGCATGGGTGAATGGCTGGCATGGATGAATGGTAGGGAAATGAAAAGCGGCAGGATGCGTTTTAGAAACAAAGCATGAGATGAGGTGTGCTTGCACCGCTGACCCAACACTATCCTTTTCCATTGAACCCTTCAATATGGTGTGCTATTTATCCCTGTCCAACAAACTCATGGCAAGACGACTGATAGAACCAGTAAAGGGGAGATAGGGAGGGCACGGGCAGGGGAAGAGAGGGTGGGGTTGGTAAGGCGAACCGTGAAAGTCAAAATTACTGAAAAGCGTTTGGAGGGCATACGACACTTCTTTGCTGCCACCATCAAGCAGCCTTCAAGGAGAAGTGTATGGGTGCGGTTGAGGTGGGAGGAGGAGGGGTAATAAAGAGATGACGGAAAAATATGTGTCCATACACAGCACAGGAGGCCGGATGGGGAGCGAATGAGGGAATTGGGTGGGGGAATTGAATGATCGCATGTCAGGCGGTTGTGGTATGCAAAGGAGGGAGAGTTTCTAGAAATGGTGCTGCTGCTTCGTTGGGATGGTGGCGGAGCAAATGGGAAGGTGATGGCGGGCAGAGGAGGATAACCTGAATGTGAAGGGACACTTGATTCATGCATGGAAAGTGATGCGTGAAGGGGCACGGCATGATGAGACGAAGGGCATGGCACAACGAGATGCATGGGTGGGCGGCGGATGTTGGGTATGGGGAATAAGGAATACGGAAGGGAGGGCAGACGGAGAAATGGGAGATGACGGGGCGGGGAGCGGGCATAATAAGAGGCTTCTGAACGAATGGAAAGGGACGTGGGAAGGAGAAGAAAGAGGACGCGAGGAGAGGTAAGTATGTAGGGGGGAAGCGAGGGCGAGAAGGAATGTGGGGGCAAGGTGGAAGCAGGGAACGGGGGAGGGGGGAGGGTAGGTTGCTGAACGAATGTCAAACTATATATGTTGTGTTATATTTTGTAGGCTGTAGTGGGGTAGCCAATATGGGGTACAACCCCTTTAGGGTTATATATTTGTACCCAACTCTGATCTAGTTCATCAATTCCTGCTAGTCTAGTCTGACATGGTTTCAGAGCAGTAGGTCCGTAGGACCGTTTTTTTTCGGGCCCACCTACCGTTGCGGTTACTGAGCTACCCCACGTCTTGCCTGCGCTGCGCCGCATGCGCGCGCCCTGCCTTGCCTCCGTGACGTGCTGCGCTGCGCGCGCCGTCCTGCAGCCTTCGTGCTGCCTGCTGCTGCCCCGTGCGCCGCCCTCGCTGCTCGCGCACCGCCTCGGCAGCCCCGCGTTGCGCTGCCCCGCGCACGCCCTGCCCTGCCCCGCGTTGCGCTGCCCCGCGCACGCCGTGCCCTGCCCCGCGTTGCGCTGCCCCGCGCACGCTCTGCTCTGCCTGGCGTCGCGCGCCCCTGCAGGCTGCCCGTCGCGCCATGCGCCCCTGCAGCCCGTCGTGTCGCCCGTCCGGGCTGCTCCAGCCCGTCGCGTCGCCTGTCCGCCCTTCCTGCCCGTCTCGTCGCCCGTGCGGGCTGCCCCAGCCTGCCGCGTCGCCCGTTCGCCCTGCCTGCCCGTCGCGTTGCCCGTTAGGGCTGCTCCAGCCCGTCGTGTTGCCTGTCCGCCCTGCCTGCCCGTCGCGTCGCCCGTGCGGGCTGCCCCAGCCCGTTGAGTCGCCCGTTCGCCCTGCCTGCCCGTCACGTCGCCCGTAGGGGCTGTCCCAGCCCGTCGCGTCGCCCGTCCGCCCTGCCTGCACGTCGCGTCGCCCGTGCAGGCTGCCCCAGCCTGCCGCATCGCCCGTCCGCCCTGCCTGCCTGCGCGCCGCCCCTGCTCCCCCCGCGCACGCCACCCGCGTGCTGCCCTGCTCTGGCCGCGTGCCGCCCTGCTCTGGTCGCGTGCCGCCCTGCTTTGACCGCGCGCCGCTCTACTCTGGCCGCGTGCCGTCCTACTCTGGCCGTGAGCCGCCCTTCCCTGACCGTGCACAGCCTTGACTTACCCTAGTGCCTCCTCGCCGCCCTTCCTTCCCTACGGCCTGCCCTGCTGGTCGCATGACTTCTCTTCACGGCAGTGTGGGAGCGGTGGCGGCGGTGGCATCCGCAGTGGTAGTCGCTTTGGAGCTGTTCGGCACGGAGTTTCTGGCGGCGGCCAGATGCAGCTGCAGCGATGTCTGAGCGAGACCCTTACGCCCGCGCAGCTTCGTGAGTGGTACGCTCGTAGGTGTGGTGGTGGTGGCAGTAGTAGCAGTCGCGGTGCAGCTATTCAGTTGGGAGTTTCTGGCGGTGGCCTGGTGCAGCTGCAGCGACGTCCGAGCAAGACCCTTCCGCCCCAGCAGCTTCGTGAGTGGTACGCTCGTAGGTGTGGTGGCGGCGGCAGTAGTGGCACTCGCGGTGCGGCTAGTCAGTTGGGAGTTTCTGGCGGGGGCCTGGTGCAGCTGCAGCGACGTCTGAGCGAGACCCTTCCGCCCCAGCAGCTTCGTGAGTGGTACGCTCGTAGGTGTGGTGGCGGCGGCAGTAGTGGCAGTCGCGGTGCGGCTAGTCAGTTGGGAGTTTTCTGGCGGGGGCCTGGTGCAGCTGCAGCGACGTCCGCACGAGACCCTTACGCGCCAGCAGCTTCGTGAGTGGTACGCTCAGAGTGGGGGGTCTAGGAGTCATGCCCGCTGCCAGTAGATCCTTCGCACAGGTGATCGGGCTGGTCAGACTTGCGGGACGCTCTCTCACACACAGGCTCGCTGCTTCGCCCGTCTGAGTGACGCCTGGCGTGCAGTGTTTGGCGACGAGGCTGAGCTCCCCCACTGGCTAGAGCTGCTGCGCAACAAGGTGGATATCTTTGCTCTAGACTATGACACTATCCTTACTGCCATGTATGCTCTGACTGGTAGTACTGAGGGTGACTGTTACCTGTGTGTGCCGCCTGACCCTGGTATAGAGGCTGCTGCTCTAGGTGCTAGTGAGTCTGCTCTCTCTGGTACTGTGCCTGCTGAGGCCTTGTACACCTTCACCCTTGACTCAGGTGCTTCTCGCTGTTTCTTTCGTGACAGTACCACAGTCACTCCCCTCCCTGCACCTGTCCCTGTCTCACTGGCTGACCCCTCTGGGGGCCCAGTGCTTGCTCGCTCTTCCACTATGCTTCCGTGTCCGGCAGTCCCGTCTGGTGAGCTGTCAGGTCTCCACCTCCCCTCGTTCTCCACGAACCTGGTGAGCACCGCCGTCCTTCAGGATCACTGGGTTGACACCTTTACTCCTGGAGGACAGCGTGTGACGATCGGCACTTGCTCTCGGACCGGCCGACCACGTTCACACGTGCGCCTGGGTCCAGTCTGTACACCCTCACCACTGTGTCGCGCTACGCCCCTTTGTCTCCTCAGCTGTACGCGTCCGCTCAGGTAGCTACCCAGTGTGAGTGTCGCCGCCTGTCGCACGACACTCTCCTGTGGCACCACCGCCTTGGTCACCCCTCCCTGCCCCGCCTTCGTGGCATGCACTCTCGCTCCCTGGTCTCTGGTCTTCCCAGGTCTCTGCTCGTCCTCCCTCCCTCGCCTTCGCCGCCCTTGCATCGAGGGGCGGCAGCGCGCCGCTCCTCACTCCTCCTCGTTCCCTCCCACAGAGGCTCCACTGCAGACTCTCCACCTGGACGTGTGGGGCCCAGCCCGCATCCAGGGGCAGGGCCGCGAGCGGTACTTCCTGCTGGTCGTCGACGACTACACGCGTTACACCACGGTCTTCCCCTTGCGCACCAAGGGGGATGTCCCTACTGTTCTGATTTCCTGGATCCGCGCTGTTCGTCTCCAGCTTCGCGAGCGGTTCCAGTCGGACTTTCCTGTCCTGCGTCTGCACTCTGACAGAGGTGGTCAGTTCC